CAACCGCGGGCGTGGGAATCGAGTCCACGCTATTAAGCTTAGAAGTCACTCAGATGCCGCGGGGTGTAAGCAGGAAACGATAGTTCGAAGCTTGCCCCTTCCTCCGACCATCGATTCCAGTGGCGCACCTCAAAATAATTCATAAATACGCATGATAAACCAAAAACAACATTTGACCAGACTGCAAGTGCGATTTATTTCGCGTCAGACTTGGATTTGAACGTATACCACGGACTGATGTTGTAACGCTGTTGCGTAGGGAACGCCAGCCAAGCGCTTTTATACGCTCATGCACAGCACAGTTATACACAAAGCTCATACTTTCGTCGTTCTTCCCTAGATATCTTCCACGGACATATATAAACACCCGAATGCTGCTTGTGAAGCTGCAATCCAATACAAGTTGAAAGACCTAACTCACACTACGCCCCCCCCCCCCCCCATTTCTGACCTTAGCCCAGCGTACATGGTCAAGGAACTAAAGCGATGCTGCTTTCAAAAGTGCATTTTGATCATAGCTGCAGGCCTGCCTTGGTATGGCATCCCGAGGAGACAACACTAACGGAGGGAAATACCGCAAGCAGGTGTAACACACTGACTGAGAACGGGTTCATAAGCATCGTTGCAAATCTTTTTAGTTTTTGTTTATTAACGAGATCAGCGTATCTACAGGCGACCTTGAGGGAAACCGAGAGAGAGCGATCGGTTTCTCGAAGTTGTCCGTGTGCCGTGCAACTTGTGCAGAAACGGTACATGTGTCTGGGGCCTCGTTCACATGCATATTGACCGGTGAATTGCGTGGCTGCAAGAACGAATTAGATGAAAGCTTCAGTGGACATATGTTTATGGCAGATCCGGTTGAAGCATTAACGTGCCTGCAAGGACGATTTCGTTCTGTGTATAACAGAGGCGTTAAGTGATCTGTAAATGTTCGTTCTCGTTTGAAACGGTACATTGACAACACTTGACATCTGTATCAGCGAGTGAAGTGCAGTGTACGTGGAGTCAACGTAGAGCATTATAGCTTAGTAACTGATAACTCCCAGAATGAAAATCTAGGTTTGGAATGTGCGCAGATAAAGCAAAAAAAAAATGACGAGATACGGACAGATAGAGCTAAGGTACAGAAGCGTGTGCAAAATCAACATGAAATTAACACAGGTAAGCACTACACCTTCTTGCTTACGTCAATTTGCCTTACAAGCAATGAAGAGGGTAGCGAAATACATAAAAAGGTTAGGAGTGGATGAGCAGAACGGACAGACGACAGAGGGCGAACGCCACAAAAATCTTGTCGAACACAAACTGACGACATTGCTTTCACTCTGCCGACCCCTGCTGCAGGCGTTTAGGCGAGCAAAAAGGACGAAATATCGCCAACTTCTCTGCCTTTGCTCCCTTTATGTAGACCGTTTCATCTGGCGAGGAGGACCGGACCGGCAACCATTGCTTTCCTTCTTTCTGGAGCTTGCCGACGGCGCAGAGGCTGGTGCTTGGGGGAGTGGCGTTGTCAAAAAATTTAGCATGTTTTAGGTCGAATTGCAAATTTAATTCCCTTTTATGCCTATGCCAGCCAGCGAAAGGCCAACGGAAAGCCACTGTGACATTTTTGGTTGTTCTAAGAACTACAGAGAAAAAAATGGAAACTCTCATCTGAATAGTATGCGGCACGCATTACCAAACGCGTAAACGCTAGAGTTCGCGGTTGCTTCATGGTACATCGTTTGTATTACGTGACAAGTTATATAGCGGCAAATGCCGTAATATACCTGGAATACTTTGTGTTATACTCGGCAAAATGACAATAGAATATTGTTAGATTAGCGACAAACCATAAAACGTCAAGTACGCCCCCGTTCGTTACAAAACATCTAAGCACCACTTCTGTAGCCACCCGTGTTGTGTTCGCTTCGTTTTATCATTATTTATTACATTTTAGTATGATGAGTTTGGTCAAAAAGTTATCCGCGTATATCGCTCAATATGGTGGTCAATGTAGTTGATGTGGCTGTATTAACACGGACTAGAAACCCCTCACTTCGCAGCGGGGTAACCGGCATTACGTATTTAATTTGTACAGAGCACCGGCCTTGTGCAACCCGATCATTGACTCCATTTTAAATGAAAATGACGCGGCAGAATTGTTGTCGTGAGTGTAAAACTCACGTAGGACGGCGGAATGTATCGTGCACTACGTGCGATATGAAAGCCGAATAGTGAAAAAAAAAAAAAGGGGGGGGGGGGGGGTGTTCCGTCACTTCGTGTTTGGCGTAACTACCTCAGAAAAACAGTTTTTCGCGTGGCCAAGAACCGTGTCTAACAAGTTGCGCGATGATATACACCATAGTTAATTATCTTCTAAGAGTAAAACTAAATTAAACCACGCTGTTGCGGTTGTCTGTTGTTTTTTATAAGTGTCGATCTCTCTGCTTAGCTTTGCGAACGACAGCCAAGTATTCGCAAAAGCCGTACAACTGGGAGACAAAATCCCTTTAAAAAATAAACACAATTTGACTCTTATGCCGATAATAGGCCCAAGCCCGGGCGCGCTTGGTACCTAGCCCATTGGCAGAAGAAACACAAACCAGTGTTTTTCTGTAACTATATGTTCGCTATATTGCCGCTGCAATCCAATCTAACGGCATCGCTCTAAAAAGCAAAGAAAAAAGAAGCGTGCTGGCATGTAAACTTCGAAACACCGGTTTTTTTTTTTTACGTACCAGCACCATCAGTTCTATAATTTTGTCCACACTAGTGGGCAATAAACGAGCGAGTGATACGGTTTCATCAGAGGTCGCGTAAAGGATAGAGAACAGTTTGTGAGCAACAAACAAATGCCGTCACCAGCCAAGAAATTCAAACTGCGCGCTCACGCACGACCACATGTATACAGGTTGTAGTCGCTGTGACGGCATAAGCAAACCGGTAGTGAAAAATACAAACTTAATCATACACTCCAGGAAAAAAAATGACAGTATGTTCAAAGGGTGCCAGCACTTGCTTGCCCTGCTTGAAATGGTCGAAATATTTTACGGTTTCCCAGCAGAAATAGTGCCGAAAAAACATACGACACCGACTACTTGCGACACGATCGCGCCATCGCATATCATCATATTTGACCCCGAGAGGATCAAAACCTTTCAAGACTTCTCGTATAGTTATTTGCCTACTTATACTATATCACTTAAGACGACATTCAGCACGCAAGAACGAAAAAGACCGACAGTAACCACGCGAATACCTTCCCAAGAAACACGGAGCATCGCACGCTCCAGTGGTTTGCCAGGCCAGGGACGGCGCCACCCGCTAGGCAATATTGCGGCGCCCACGTTGCAGTGTAACTTGCTAGAGTGTCAGCGAAATGTGATTTCAAGAGCTGCACAATATAGCTTTCAAAAGTTTTTTCTTGGCCTTGGTTCGCAGCTCATTGTTAAAAAAATTGATTCATATGTGGGGTTTAGCGCCCCAAAACCACCATATGATTATGAGAGACGCCGTAGTGGAGGGCTCCGGAAATTTCGACCACCTGGGGTTCTTTGACGTGCACCCAAATCTGAGCACACGGGCTTATACAGCATTCCCGCCTCCATCGGAAATGCAGCCGGGATTCGATCCCGCGACCTGTGGGTCAGCAGCTGAGTACCTTAGCCACTAGACCACCACGGCATGGCCATTGTTTAAAAAAAACAGCGCATATAGTTTATTATGTCTACAGGGCTTGTTGCTGCGGAGCTCGTTGAAAACATCAGGTAAAGCGCGAGGAGGACAGGGACGAAGCGAAGACACGAACTGACTGACAGATACGGGCGCCAACTTGCAATTTGCAATTGCTGACAAGTGGCCCCATAACAGAATTAAGCACATGGCAAAACAGGCAATTCATCATGGGCCACTGAAACAAAGTTTGGGCATGCGCCGGGAACTGCACTGAACCGAGCTGTAAAAATCGTGCCAGCGCACATGGACTGCCTGTCAACCATATATGTGCACAGCAAAATGGGCCGCGCACAATCTATACATGCATCTACGGGCTATCTTGCGAAAACATCACTTCTTTTCTCATTTAGTCCGCATCGCAGCTCACTGTCACCCAAGGCTTTCACAATCACATGAGCTGTATGACGAAATATTCCTAATGTATCTGCTATATTGTGAACGTTGCTGTTGACCTTTACAACCAAATATTTCCAATGTATACTTGTAGCATGTCCTTATACAGTGTATACTTGGTAAAGTGAAGCGCTATAAGCGTAACAGAAAGGCGAGATAGGTGGGAGAAACGCTTCTATGTGCTACAATGTTAGCACAATATAGTGTACCACAGGTGTTGCCTGTTCTACATTCCTGTTCCGTTTGCTGCTCCTCACTTTGCCAAGTATATACGCACCACCAACTGGCCTCAATTTTCACTCTTCTATAGGGTTATACAGCAGTTTGACTTCACACACAATGTTGTCGTTCCGTATATACTCAACGACATTAGAGAGTTTTAGTACTGCGGAATGGTGCTACGTACGCATCACGCAAGCGCCTTGCGTTACGTGGCGTCCTTTGCCACTAATCGGCTTTTAGTACGCCGTAGTACCCGCGTACGTAACGAGCGTGAAGCGTGTTGCGCCATCTGGTAGATCAAAATAGAAGCACTTGTTGTTGACAGCCAATGTGAGCCAATCCAAGTGTTATAGCCAGATAATGGGCATATTTTAGCCACAGAGCCGGTAGTGCTTGCCTTCGATGCCGCCATTTTGCAAAACGAAGTCTCGCGCTGTCGCGAACTTGTTCGAGTGCGGCGCGATCAGCTCATACGTACGCACGCACGCATCTCATGCGTGCGTACGTAGCGGCTGCGATACGTGCGTGTTGTGGTCTGCGCATGCGCACTGCGCAGAACGTGGCGTCCTTACGTACGCAACGCCGCCACGTACGCAGCGTACGCAGTACTAAAACTCTCTATTAAACGCAGAGTGCGGGACGCAAAAGAAACGTGCGTGTGTACTCACCGAGTAAAGAGCGCAGCGCGGCGTCCCCGTACCGGGAGGCGAAGTCCTGCGACAAGCGCTCGCACTCCAACTCCTCCTGGCTCTTCGGGGCGGGCCGCCGCAGCTGGACGCACCACTCGTCGTCGGGTCCCGTCTGGGTCGCCGAGTTGGTGCGGCGGCACGTCGGCGGCGAGCCGGCCGTGACCGCGCTCGTCGTGGTCGACGACGACGTCCAATGTTCGTGGCACCCGTTGCACGCCACTTGCTCGCCACCCGTGGGCGTCGGAGGCAGCGCGTTGTTGTTGTTGCTACTAACGCTGTTGATATTGCCGCCAGCAGTGGCGGTACCTGTACTGGTGGTGGTGACGGTGGTGGTAGTGCTCGTCGAGCTGTTGTTGTTATTCAGGGAGTCCGCGGGCTCGTACTGAGGAGTCTTCGCCGACGTAGAGTCCTGACTAGGGGCCGTCGTCGCGGATTGAGGAACCGCGGTGCCCGCAGAGGGCCACGAGTGCGGCGGGAAAGTGAGCGGCGACGAGGGACAGGACGAAGAGGACGACTCGGAACTGGCTTCTTCCGAGGCGAACTCGGAGCCCTGGTCCGAGCCCGGACAGGAGTCGGGACCAGAGTCGCCGCCGCCTCCGCTTCCATGGTAGCTGCGCCGGTAGTTGCCCTGGAATCCCTGGCGGCCTGGCTTCCTCTCGGTCCGGTACCACATGTACGAGTCTTTGGGGTACACCCTGGGCAAAATCAGATAAAAAAGAATGCGGTGAGCACAGCGACACGGCTAATAACGATTAAGAGGCTTTAGAAATGCAAGTCACGCATCAACGTTATCCGAGTCCTTTTGCTGCTGTTTAGGCATCAAAAATCGAGCGCCAAAATAACACAGTCACACACGCGCACACTTAACACATTCACGCAACCAAACCACGTACAGCGCGACTATGTGCGTGTGTGAAGGTGTCATTTTTGTGGTCGATTATTTTTGTGCCAAACTGAACTACCAACTAGCCCGACAACAAATTATTTCGAGGAGAATATTCCGCTGCTATTACAGAGTAATTACAGAGCAATTTACAAAAAAATCACTTCTGGCCCGCGGTCACTTTTGAGGAATAACGAGGGAGAGGCCATTATAGTTGCAGCGTAAGTCTTCATTGTTTCGTTGAATATGCGCATTGAATAGTGTTTTGTAATACGTTTCATGACCTCCAATGATAATAGGTGAAAACGAGATGCTTTCCTTGTTGTCTTAGTTCTGCCCCTATAAAGAATACGGCTCCGAAAATGTACAAGGCAAGCAGTGACGATGTGTCAGATCGACTGATATGGAAGGACGTCAGGTATTTTACTCTGTCCTATGTGTAGGACGTGGAGTTGTCGACATAAACAACTTTGCTCATCAGAAGGCGTCGGTGCATGCGAAACTTCAGGTCATGACCCTGTAAAGGATCCCCCCCCCCCCCCCCCCCCCCCCCCCACCAAACACACACACACACGAAACAGCAAGAAGTTATTCTCAGTTTCGAATCCATGGAACAGACAGTTAACGATTAACTGAGCCACGCGCGTGAAAATTAGAATTCCAGGACTAACCAAGCCAAAAATTTATCATATACATAAAGCGAGAACGCCCACTAAAACTACTCTGCCGACCGAGCACACGGTGCTAGCTTGCTGGGCTTAAAGCTTAAAGAAAATTAAAACAAAAAAAAATTACTACAGCGCGCTTGTCGTTTAGCTCCCTCATCCATCTAGTTTATGCGCAGTACTCCGCTACTTCATTACGCAGTCCGACAGTTCAACGCGATGAGACGCAATTAGTTTTTCTCCGTCGACTGCGCAGCTAGTCACACGTTGTGTTCCGGGCGGCATTTTTCCATCGCACGTTGTGTTTGCGCAGCGTAAGCGTGCATTGAAAAAAAAAATAAAAAGAAAACCTGGTTTTGCTCAACAAACTTAAGCCTTATTAGCATGCGCGCACGCAGTCTCGAAAACTCGTCTCGGTTCAAACGGTACAGGTCTCGCATTCACGAGCACGTGCACTGCGTCATCACTCGAACAAAGCCGAGCGTTATCTCTTGAATTCGAAGAGCGAAATGTCTCAGGACAGACGAAGAGTATATGCGGTGACATGAATAACATAGGTTGCTGTAAAAAAGAAGTGTCAAATACGTGGACTGATGAGAGGCAACGCAAGATAACGAATTTCGGATAAGCCACGAGGGAGATGTCTCCGTCGCGTTTTTAATTGAACAACAAAAACTTCCGCCATATCCACGAAGTGAATGATGATGAGTGGGCGAAGCTCCGGAGGTAAACCTGGTAAACCATGAATCCTCTGTACATTTTGCCCACTCGATTTTATTACATCGCTCCCCCTAGCGTACGTCGCCGCACTAAATCGAACGATTGCCTTCAACCAATGACACGCGCCATATGTGACATCATTCCTATTTTATAAGATCTCGCGTCTTTCATCAACTACAAGTGCCGCTTTCTAGTTTATAACATCTTGCATCTTTTCATCATCAGCTACAAGTACCACCATCTAGTAAACACTACAAGAACTAAACGAGAGGTGGCTACATACAGGAGACGGTACCGCCATCTAGTGAACACTGTAAGAACTAAACTAGAGGTGGCTACATACAGGGGACGGTACCGCCATCTAGTGAACACTGCAAGAACTAAACTAGAGGTGGCTACATACAGGCTACAGGGGACGCACAGCCCACGCCCTAAGGAGCTTCGCCCCTAAAAAAATCAGATGAGGATCAAACTTTGGCGCTACACGTGACGAAAAGACACGCTTACGCACGCACGAACACATCGTTCTGGGCTCGCGTAATTCACAGCACGGCCCGAGAACACCTCGAACTAATTTTTCGGCCCACGCTTCCACAATAGACGACATCGCGGTACGTTATACCTAAAAGAGGAGAGACAAGCGAATACACCGTGAAGCGCGAAGGCACAGCTGGCAGGGAAATTCCGCTCGTGCCGGAATACATTAGGGGTAAAAAATTTTCCAAGAAGTGAAACTGATGCGACGGCAAATTAGTTTCGAGAACGCCCGAACTATACAGCCACCGCGCCACCTTTTGTTCGCTCAACAGGCGAATCCATCACACACACAAAAAAAAGTTTCTATTGTGCACGCCGGGCGGGGTCTGCCGACGTCAAAAAGGGCAAAAAAAATTCAAACAAAATACCTAGAGCACGACAAGGGTACATTTCTTGTCCCAAAGCGCGCCCAGCAAGGTCAGCAACTTCCTTTTTTTTTTTTTTTCGAGTCCTCGTGCGTAATTGCGGGAATCAAAAGTATAAAAGAGAAAGGACTTTAATGCAGAAAAAGGGGGTGCTTTCTTGTTTTCTTGTTTTTTTTTCGGAGTGCAAAAAGCATACGCAGCACCAACAGCAGGATACGTGTGCTAATGTGCCGACGTCTGGATCCTTGCGACAAAAGGGGGCTCTGAGGTACAAGAAACATTCCGGCAGGTCAAATTATTCCACCGGGGGCTTGCCTGTTCTCTATACCACACCGATAACACGCTGCACTTGAAATCCGTCCTCCCAGGCACCCCCCCCTTGCCATTCATCGCTTTATCCGCAATGCACGCATCCATTTCAAGGTGCCATTGTAGCAGCAACGCAAGAATTGAACTATCATTCGGAGAAAAAGAAAAAAAAAAACCGAAGAGAGCTTTACCTCCTGTTTTGTGAGGGATTCAGCAATACTGTAACCTTCGTTTTTTTTGTCACGCGTTTTTAATTGGACGCGAAAGAGACCTTTGAATACGACCGAAAAGAGTTGTCCAATCACGGCACTGAGAACGGTTGCAGGCAGCTGATCTAGCTGGTCACTGCATTCAAAAACGCAGTGTGTTTGTCGCTGTGAAACTGCAGTGTCTGAAGCTTGCGTTACTGAGCATAAGGTTCGACGTGTCAACAGTCACGCGTATTCAATCCCTGCTCTTTGAAGACGATCAAAGCAAATGAGGGGAAAAAGAAACAAGCCCGACCGAACTGAGTACTATAGGATAATACGCCGTTTCCCACGATTTACACTGTTTGAGCGTGCGTGCTATTACGACGGTTGACAAGCGCACATGGCCACCTCATACAACCTTCATTTCCGTCTCGAACGTGCGACAGCACTTGTTTCACCATGGCAATGCTATTCCTCACTGCTTGCGAGGTATGACAATAAAACGATAAAAAGCATATAAAGCTGTTTCCGAACTGATTTAAAAGTCCACGAACAGAGAGTTTAACCTAATATCTATAAGAAGCAAGAGAATCGCGGAATTTTCAGCGAATAAGAGCAGCGACTGTTAAGTGATCCGGCTTCACGAGTTGTACAAGGGCTAATCCGTCAGCGATGACCTGTAAACCACCGAGCGAGGCATGTACGATATTGTACGAAAATCATATTGTCCATTGTATGTCGAAGAATGCAGCAAAGTTCCATCCCAGTGACTTCGCAACAGTCGTGCGGGAAGAAATACAACGAAGAGTTCAACGACACGGTCGATTTGGCAACGAGGCCCCGCTGCTGACAAGGCAGTGGCAGCCGCTGGAGAATCTCCAGCGGGTCAATTTGAAAACAAACAAAAAAAAAGTTTCCCACAAAAACAACTGTCGGATGTGCCGGCGATCGTTCAGTTAAAAGGATCTAAAACTTAATGAACTAGTTGGATCTGAAAGCTCGTGTAACGGGATGGCAAGCAGTAATCTAGGCAATGCGCAGGCAGAGATGGTAGCACCTGGCTTCTATCTAGCCAGGTCGACGGTTCGACGCCCGGTGTAATGGCCTCGAGCATTGAGCGACCGCGGGGCATGCCCAACCGAATACATATGCCTTCCCAGCGGGAAGCCCCACGTTGAGACACAGCCACTCGCCACCCAACGAGGCTGGTCCCTTGGTACCCCCAACACAGCTCGCTGTAGCTTTCGTTCAGGCAGCAAGCACTGCAAGGGCTTCCGCCTCTACGGACATACACACGTTCTCGGCGGTCGGGTCGGTAAGCAAGCGGACGCCCTTGCTCGTACCGGGGCTATTTCTCTCTCTCTTGTCCCATCTATCGTGAAAGGGGCTTTACAGACATTCCAGCGTTCCGAAGAAGGGACCCTTCCGGTTTCGGACCTCACACCCACGCCCACTGGTTCGGGCTGAGCCTGCGGACGCAGGTGGCTTCGGACGCGGAGAGGGAGTGACCACAGCCCTCGCCGTTTCTGGTGTTTTCTACGCTCGGCCAAGGAAGCCCTTGACCACGAACGGGGGAAGCCGCACGAGCTTGTGAGCGATGTACACCTTTTCAACGCCGAGCGTGATTGTACGAAACGGACGTGAAACAGCGCTTAAGAGAACTACGGAGGAGAACTACGAAGGAAAAAAAAAAAAACAAGAAGTGTGTGCGGTAGGAAGTAGGAATGGAGTTTTTATGGGAGTGACAAAATGCACAAAGTCGCTGGATGTCGTCACACCACGTGTGTTTACCGAGGAGTGGTTTTAAAGGAAACAAGTGAAGAAAAAAGTGCCACACCGTAACTGTCTCTCTCAGGGGAGGCCATTTTTTTACTCTACATGCGCTGCTGATGTGCTTCGCAGCCACACTAGCCATGCAGCTATGTAAATGCATAAGTGAGTGCAAGTGCTGCCAGTGAATGCATTTCATCTATTTATTCTTTCTTTCTTTTTTTCTTTTTACTTTCTTCCTTTCTTTCTCATATA